TGCTGTGGTCACAGTGCAGAGCCACCCTGACCCTTTGACAGAGGGAAAATAGGGGATATCTGGAGGGTTGTACCCAAATTGCTGTTGCACTGCYGCACCCACACATGGCACTGCTCCGGGGCAATCCAGTTGCTCTCCCTTGCCCAGACATGCCATTCCCAGATAGTCAATGCTGCTGGTTCACAATGATGCAGTGCAGCCCACCAAGACTGGACCCCTCACCATCCCCAGCCCCACCAGGCAGCACGYTGGACCAGTTTTATCAGGGAATATTCCCTAAAAGCGGGGAAGCCGATACTTCCCGAGAAYATTGCCTCATCCCAGCTGTGCGTGCCTGGGATGGGGAGAAACGCTGGGGAGCTGCAAAAGGCATCCAAAAATTAATCTACTGTCTGCAGCAGCGCTGGGGCTGCAGCCCGGGGGAAGCGCCCGCCGTGTGGCATGGAAGGAACTGCAAAGAAAAGGGTCTTGTGAGGATAGCGGGAGCGGCGCGGCAGGAGCAAGCTTTGCTGTGCAGGCTTCCCGCAGCTYCGGGGTAAGCTTGGGATAGGACTGGCTCTTCCTCCATGTGCAATKCCACCTCCTCCTCGACCCTGCGGARGGAAGGTGCTGCCAGCCCTGGAATGCTACAGTGGTTTCCCCGCGTCCATGCACCCCCACCTTTGGTGCTCTCTGCAGCCGCCGTGAGCTCGGGATCTCCCTCCGTACCCGGAGCAGGGAGCAGCGCTCCATCCCGGCTTTGCTGCCGGGGCTCAGGCGGTGAGCGGAGGCCAAGCCCGCATGGGCAGTGCAGACAGGCAGCCCATGGGCAGGGCGCTGCCCGTCTGGGGCTGAACAAGCCCGGCAGCCAGCTTGGGACACCCCGGCAGCCAGCTGCTCCCGCTTTGATGTGGAGTCCCTCAGGCTCCGCACAATGCAGACTGGGGCGGGATGAAACAAGSGTGATTGATTGTCTTGTTTTGTTCCTCCAAGGCTGTCCTGGACCGTTCGGATTCACAGCTGAGATCCCCCAAGAGCAGGGGTTGGCAGTATCCACCCAGGCTGTAGGGATGGGGCCGGTGGGATGCAGGCTCTGGCCGGAAGCAGTGGGCTGGTGGTTTGAATCCTCTTGTGCCTCAGTTTCCCCATCACCGCTACCCTCTTGGAAGCTGTTGGTGTCTCTGGATGAAATATATCCCATGAAACCCATTACTCTCAGGTATGCTGGGCATCCCTGGAATTAAGGCAGACAAAGGGAGCAGAGGAGCCCTGTCAAGGTTAAAGCTCATTAGGACTTCAGCATGTTGACCTCCAAAAAATGGAGTTTAGCTCCATCCAGTTGATGAGTCATGACTCTGTGCGATGCACTCCCTGCAAGCRAGGTTTCCACCGCAGAGCTAACAGGCTTTTCTGGGAAGCACTGGGGTTCTGGGTTTCCTAATTATTTTCAAACCCTACTGGCAACCTCTCTCCAACAGGGATCACGGCTGCTCGAAGCGCAGCACTCAGGCGTGTTTGGAGTTCTGAAGCACTAATTGACTTTAGCTCGGCCTCACTGCTGAGCGCCGGCTCTTGCAGCCCCAGTCCCTCCTCCTGCCGGAGCCTGCCTGCATGTGGTTTGCATTTCTTCCCCGGAGAAAAAACCCCTTTCTCCTGCCTCAGTGTCATCTTTCCCTGGAATTGAATTTAGGGGAAATGAAGGGGATGCCAAATTTTCATGGAGTGACTACCCCCCCCTTTCAAGGCAATGATGGCAGTGAGGGGAAAAGCCCATTCCAGKATCCCCTGGAATGTACCTTGTACCCACAGTCCCTGTACCTTGGCACTGGCGATTTCAGTCACAATCAGGTGGTTCCTTGTGAGCCAGTAAGCCCTGAGGCRTTGAGCAGATTGTGGAGGAGCTACTCCAGCACTGCTGGCTCTCCCTGCTATGCAGCAGAGGATCCCATCTTTCCCTCCCACTGTGTACCAGGAAATTGCTGCCTGTGTGGAGCAGGACAGAGATCCTGGTAGAAAACATARCAGTGTCATCCATCACCTGGCCCTGCTCACCCTGGGTGATGCATGGGGGGCTTTCCCATTAATGGGACAGGAGCAGCAGGGAGTTGACCCTGAGGGAAGCAGCAGCCTGCAACACCAGAACATCAGCCAGGAATTATCCACTGCCCCTCTCTGCCTTCTCCGGGTCATTCCCAGCATGAACAGCACGGCACAGGGGTGAGGCAGCTGCCCTGGCCATGTTGGCTGCCCTTCCCAGCACGGAGGGCTCGTGGGCTGCCAGCGGGGCGGGCGGTTGGGAAATCTGTTTCCTCTTCTGCTCGTTACGACACCACAGTGGGCGCATGCAATGGGAGCAGTGAGGCAGCGGGAAAATATGAAGGTCAGGGGAGTCTGCGGTTTGTGTGACGGAGGTGACCCTGTCTGATGTAGCCTTCTACCTGCTTCAAGYACCGCCATCCGGCTGGGATAGCTCCAGCCACTGCCTCCCCTGGGACATCACTCCTATCCATATCCTGTCTGGAGCAGCTCTCCATGGATTGTGTTCCAGGGTAAAAGAGGGAGGCAAATGGCTCTTGGTGCAAGAGCTTGGCATGAGTTGTCATGAACACGTGCAAGGCATCGGGACTGGCTGCTCTGAGGGCTTCACTCAGCTCTCACATCACTCCTGCTCTCAGCTGTGCTCCAGCAGCCACAAAAAGGACATGGCTCTCACAATGACAGCACAAGCAGGCCCGGCATCTGCCATGATGCCCTCGCCTTACAGCACGACTGCGCCAGCTCTGCAATCCTCATCACTTCAGTAGTCACTTGGCTGTTGATTCCAGACGGGGTTGGGCTGTCCGTACCTCCCATGCAGTTTGCAGACCCCTAATTCACATTAGGGGACTGCTTTCATGTGGCCAGTGGTTTTCATCATCAATGAGCCACAGAGCGAGCAAAGCACGGGAGCAGAAGAAGGAGACAACGGGGAGTCAGGCAGTGTGGGGCAGCATGGCACCGCGGGTGCTGGAATAGTGGCTTTGATGTAGTGGCAGTCAGCCCTGGGGCCATGGGCTCAGGTATGGCAAGGCTTGATTCCCAGGAGGGTCCTGGGGTGAGAGGATGCATGGAGGCATCCTGCTTTCCTCACTGCCRTACCCGTGAAGGGGCTGATCAGGCCAAGGGGGACTTGGCACCCAAAGTCACTTCTCAAGAGAGGTCCAGGGCAGCTGACACAACACAGTGAGGGAAAATAAATCAGGGATGAACACAGAGATGAGGCCACAGGAGGACAAGCTGAGGGTTGGATGGGAGCAGGTAGTAGAGAGGCAAGAGGGTAGAGAGTGGATGGTGGGTGAACAGGAATGGCAGCAATTCAGTTGGGAAAGGGAAAGCTTGGTAAGCACTTGTGTGATCCTGCCGAGACACTGACAACTCCTGAGGCCACCAATCCCAAATACCCTGTGCTCCTGCACCTGCAGCAGCTCTGCAGAAAGGCAGGGGAAGTCCACTAGCAGCACTGGGATACAGGATTCTGGATCATGTTTCTGGAGGGAGACCTATGATTTCAAACTGTGCCTCAGAAGTGGGCATTTGAATGGAGTCACTGGTTACTTGCCTGGCCCACCCAGGGCAGGGCTGTGCTGGGAAAGTGAAATGTGGATATTGTCAAAGCCTGAAACCACGGCTGCTGCCCAGGAGCAAGCTGAGCCATGGGGTGGAAATGCTGCTGCCACTCTGAATCACATCTCAGCAATGGAGAAGCTGTKGCTGAGGCATTTCCTGCTGTTCCCAACTCATCCCCATCCAATGCCTCCCTCATGGAGCTCCTGTGCTGAAATCCCAGCCCTATGGAAAATTTGCAGTTGCTTTCCTGATGAGTCCAGCTGTCTTCCCTGAAGACACGAGCAGCAGAATATGGCAGGAGGTGTGGTGTCTCCCGGTGGTGATTCCCACGAGACCTGCCGGGCTGTGGTCGGTTGTTCAGCCTCAGTGACTTCTTGAGAGRGAAATGGAAAGAGCGAGCAGAGTGAGTTAATTAATTGACGCATAATGAAGTCAAGATGAGCATCCCCAAGGAGCTGAAGCTCAGATTGGGAAAGCAGCAGATGATGGTGTTCCCTGGYTTTGTCCCGAGCCCCAGCCTCCTGCCAGCCCCACCGAGGATGCTGGCTCTGGCCCAGGGGCAGGGAAAAACAGCTCCTGAATGCCTTTCAGTAGCAACTTTAATAGAATTTAGGTGTCATAAACACTGTAACCCAGAGAAGGGAGTTGTGAAAGGGATGAAATAAATCCAACAATGGCTGTTTGGTGCTTTGGTTCCTTTGGTGAAGGCATGAAGGCTTGCTATGGCAGCAAGAGCAGACCCTGMATGGACTCAAATGCTTTCCTGACTAGGAGCCAGGAGGAGGGAAGGAGGCTCAGGGTGACTCTAACCCGGAGGCTGCTAAATGGTATTGAGMAGAGACCCTTTACAGGATCACAGAATCCTTTACCTTGGAAAAGTCCTCTTAGATCGAGTGCAACCGTTGCCCCAGCACAACCAAGCCCACCGTGTACCCGAGTGCCACACCTACATGTCTGTTAAACCCTTCCAGGAATGGTGACTCTACCATTGCYCCCTGGGCAGCCTTCTGGTGAAGAAATTTTGCCTAATATCGAAACTAAACCTCCCCTGGCACAACTTAAGGTCATTTCTTTTCATCCTGTCCCTGTTCCCCGGGAGCCCGACCCCCATCTGGCTGCATCCTCCTGTCAGGGAGCTTGTGAGAGAGAAAGCAGATCCCCACTGAGCCTCCTTTTCTTCAGGCTGAGGAACCCCTGGCTCCCTCAGCTGCTCCTGGTGCTCCAGCCCTTTCCCGAGGTCCATTTCTTTCTCTGGACATCCTTCAGCCCCTCAATGTCCTTCATGTCCTGGGGGGCCCGAAATCAACGCCGGAACTCGAAACGCCGCAGCAATGCCGAGCGCAGGCGGGTTCTCCCGGGCCCGGTGGCCGCAGGAGGCGGCTCAGGCCATGCGCAGCGGACGGGAGCCCTCTAGTGAGGGGCGGTGCGGCTGCGGCTCCGCCCCGGCCCGGAGCAGCTATGGCGGGGCTGGAGGCTTTGTACGCCTTGGCAAGGGCTGCCATCTCCCGCCCGCAGGATGCCCTGGTCTGCGGCATCCACTGGGAGCTGGTCCGGCACGGCTACCGCTGCCTGGGCACCGGCGACCAGGTACGGGGGGCCGAGCAGCGCTGCGCCGCCTCGGAGGCCTAGTAGGCCGCGGTGAAGCCGGGGCCTTTCCTAGCGCCGCTCGCCGGGGCCGTGCGGCCGAGCCCGGCGACTGCTGCCGGGGCCCGGGGAACCGCGCAGCGCTGGCGGTATTGTGGGCGCTCGGGCCGGTGCGGCGTTCCAGGGGCCTCAGTGCCACTGTGGAGGTCGGAGCGGGCGGCTGCGAGGCCGGGGGTGCCCCGGTGTTCGGGGATCCCGGTGTCCTGCTCTTGGGGAAATGGCGGTGCTGAGAGTATCCCGGTTCCGGGGGTGCTGGTGCTGGGAGTGGTCTGTGGGATGTCGCAGGATGCCAGATCATGGTACTGGTGTCATCAGTATCACCCTGGGAAGGGGGTTAATATAGTGCTAAGTGCAGCTTGGTGCTGAGGCGGAATTCTAATAAAAGGGAGGTGTCCAGTGCAGTGCTGAGGAGGAARTGTCCTGGGGCAATAACGGGGGTGGGGCGGGGGCAGTCTACTTCTGTACCTAGTGCTCAGGTGGGGGTCTAGTGGGGGTTGAGAGAGTGCCTGATGTGTGTTGGAGGGTAATGGGGGTTGCAGGGCACTGTCATGGCAGAGAACCTCCCAGTTCCAGAGGAGAGGACAATGTAGGGCAGRGMCCCCYAGCAGCACCACTGTGGGGCTGGGGMAGACWTGATGACAGCCTTCCCCCATGCCCCAGATAGCTCTCTATCATGCTGGGGCGGTGAGAGGTGTCTGGCAGGGAAGAGCAATGTCTCCTAGTCTTGAGTATTTGTTACCTCTTCCTGCTYAGCAAAGGGTGATCGTGTCCCTCCTGTTCCAGCACGTGGGTGCTGTGGGAGGCTGGSAAGCAGGCAGGGCCAGCCTGTAGGAAACACAGTCCTGCTTGTGCTGTTAAAACCTGAAAGACWTTGAGGGATCCCCTCCCAAAGACTCAGTTACCTCCTGGATCTCCCTGTGCAGCCAAGACAGGATCCCAAGCGCTGGGAGGTCATGCTGGGTTTCTGGGCAGGGTCTTGGCAGCCTGTCTGTTTCACTGCAGCCAGGTCCTGGTGAAAGGAAGTCAGAGCTGTTGCCTGCCGGCTGGGAAGCCAACAAGGAGGTGTATACACTGCGCTACAAGTCCACAGACAATTCCCATGAGCTGCTGCTGAAGGCCATCATGGTGGAGGACAGTATGATCCTCAATGTCATGGTGAGCACCCACGTGGCTCCTGTGGGTTTGGGGTCCTTTGGCTGAAAAGAACACAGGGGTCAGTTTCTTAAATTGCTCTGTCTGGAAGTGGCGTTTGTCGCTCAGGATGGGGTAGAGCTAGGGGGTGTTTGGGTGGTAGAAGAAGTGGCCCAGCGTGGAGCTCGTTAAACCCTGGCTGTGTCAGTGGGACAATTGGCCTTGAACACTCCAGACCAGAAGCTGCCCTGCTTTTGTCCCTTTCCCMGCTCAGGACTTCTCTGCAACTCCCAGCAAGCACCTGCTCCAGGTTCCTTTGCTCAGTGTTTCACTCTTTGCAGCTTCAGCTGGGGAGAGGGAGCTGGGAGCCTTGCTGTACACTGGGGTTTGCTCCTGGAGTTTGGGCACAGCATAGGGATGTGCCAGGAAGCACCTGTATCCCAACCCTGGAGTTGTTGTTGTACCTGCTCTGTCCCTCATTCCCAGCTCTGMCAGGTTGCTCACTCTGCTTTACCTGCGTTTTTCCAGGATTGCAGCTCTCAGAAGGTGGCAGATGTGACCTTGGCAGTGGCTGACTTCATCAACCCAGAGCACCTGGACGATTTCCACAAGTAATCTCAATTTTCTGGTATTTTCTGCAGGAGGAAATGTTCTACTGGCATGGAGAGGGAGRCAGAAATCAGGTTGGGATTTAGGTTCAGGTTGGATTAGTCCCCAGTACAGATACAGGCCAGCCCTGAAATGCATCAAGAATTCTCTTCCATGCCTCCCTCTGAGCTGACAGGAGAAATTTAGGGGGCASTGGGATCATGGGTTGGAGCCCAAGGGAAGGCCACCCCACCTGGGAACAGCCCAGGCCAGCACATTTATTTCCAGAGCATTGTGCTGGATGGACACTGCCCAGGACTGTGACAGCTTCAGCCACATCCACAGTGTCATGTGCTTTCCTCCAGTGCAAASTGGTCGGGTTGGGGCCAAAGCAGAAGGGAGTGGCTGGGTGACACCCCACCCCTCTGAAATGGGATGAGGACTTTGGTGCTCCTGTGTGCTGTTACCCCTTCCTGTCCCCTCTGTGCTGCCAGCCAGGGACACATTTTTTGTGAGTGACACTTTGGGCTTGTCTGTCCCTTCCCCATGCCTGTTGCAGCTTCTCTAGCACCCCACGTCCTGGTGCCATGGCCACCCCATCCCACTGCCTTCCCTCTCCTTTCTGCAGGGTGTACAAGAACACCGAGGAGCTGAGCACAAGAATTGCTTCAGGCATCATCGCTCCCCTTGGGGCCCCTGCAGAAAAGCCCAGAAATGAGCCYGAGTCCAGAGAGGATGTGCTCTGGGATGAGGACCCGCTCCGACTCCCTCCCCGGCGGCCAATGGGCACCAGGGCCCCATCCAGGTGAGTAAAGAGCAGGTGGCTGCTGAGAGCCCTCTATTAGAGGGAACGTGGTCCTGGCACAGCTCCCCAAACTTCACATCAGGTCCCCATTTTGCACATGTGGGATGGGGAATGAAGAGGATCCAGACCTTCCCCAGCTGGATCCCCAGCTGGACACTTGGATTTGATTTGGGTGCTGGAGAGGAATGGCTGTTCCTGGAGTTGTGTGTTGGACCAACAGACTCAGGAGGGAGCAGGCAGAGGCTGGGGCTGGGAGGTGAGGTGTGGGGTGAAGGAAAGTGGCCCTGCTCTGTCCTGGCTGAGGTCTGTCGAGACTGGCAGAGCACACCAGTGGAAAGGACAGTGCCATTGTGTGGCTGAGCAGCCTTTGGGAGGGACACCCAGCCAGTGTGCAGGGCAAGACTTCCTCTTGCTCTCTTGACCTCACTTTCCCCTTGGAACCATTGCTGACAATGTTGAGTAGAGGAGACATGTGGACCACTTTGCCATCCCTCCCTGGTTCCTTCCAGTCATCCCTTGTGTGTGGCAGGCAGGTTCTCTGCTCTCTCCCACACACACTATGATCCCCTTTGGCTGAAAGTCAAGAGACTCTGCAGTGGCTCTACCATCTCTTGGGGACCAGCTGTGACTTCTGGCTCGTGTGTTGCCCCACTGCTGTCTGCTGCCACTCAGGGTGCAAGACACTCTGTGGCAGGGTTTGAGAAGACAGGCTGGAAAGCTGGAACATGGCTCTGAAACCATGTAATCAGCATGTGTTATTGACAGGGAGATGTGCCAGCTGGCCGCAGGCCCACCACCCCACTGTCCCCACACTCCTAGAAGTGTGGGGACATGCTGGAGAACCTGGCCTAGCCCAGCACTGCTTAGGGATCCCCTGGCATGGAAACTCCTGCTATACATGGACAGCTCCTGCCTGGAGCAGTGGGACCTACAGGGAAAACAGCAGGGCTCTCTTTATCTCAGCAAGCTGCTGCCACACACATCAGTGTCCTCATGCAGCAACACCCTGGAGCAGGGAATGCTGTGTTCTGGGGCTGGGATGCTCCCAATGGCAGTTCCCTCATGCAGGGTCCCACAAGTCCCAGGGCTCTCTGGGGGCTGCACTGTTTGCCATGGGCGAGCACCCATAGGCATGGYTCTACTCAGCTTCTCTGCCCTTCCCTGAATATCTTGCTGTGTTCTGTGTTTCAGCCCTTCCCCCTTGAGCCCCTTTGCTGTTGGTGGGGAAGACCTGGACCCTTTGGGGTGAGTATGGCTCTTGAAGCACACCCTGCTCTGCCTTTGGAGGGTGTGGGGTGGCTCGAGACCACTGGAACTGCCAAGTGTCTGCAAGTGGGGATGGTGATGGGAGAGGTGCTTGGTGCAAATTGTGAGGCTCAATATGGTTCTAATATCGTAATAAGATCCCGTCTCTTGCATAGATGATAGGTTGCAATCTGTGTCTGTTTAATAATCAGCTTGTATTCATTTAACACACAGTAATTCCTGCAGTAAATCAAAGCTGAATATGTCGTTAAGTGAATGTAAGCCTCTAATTTAAACTGTTACCAGCTGCTGTTCTCCAGCCCAGCAGTCTGCAGAAGGGGAGGCTGAAAGCTGAATTCACAGATTTTCAAGTCCTGTTGTAAGCTTCCTGGCACTTGGAGAAAGTCTGGGCAGAGGCTGGGCTGTCTGGGAGACTGGGCTTCACAGATCTGTCCTTGATCTTTGGTTTGGTCAGGCAAGGGGAACCTGTCATCTTCCGCTCCAGTTAAAAGCACACAGTCAGAAAAAAAMCAGCTTGCGGTGTTGTTGTGGAGTGTCCTGCAGCCCAGAGGAGTCTCCTCTTTGGAACCACTGTCCTGTGGGAATGACATTTTTTCCCCTCTTGCAAGACTTGGTTTTCCATGGGTTTGGCTAGAAAAGGGACAACTAAAAATGTCCCTGCTCAGCTGGAAAGAGAGGCCTGGAGCTGGGGGGCCTGGAAGGAAACCTCATCGCACAAGGAGAGTGGGTTCATTTGGGGGGGGGGAGGGGGCGTGTCCCTGTTTCTCTTGCTGCCTGCAGCCCTTCATCAGAGATTTCTCTGTAAATGACAAAAAAAGATGGTAAATGGAAGCAGATTTGGGTGCTGACACCTGCCAGCACTGGAGCTGGAGACCCAGACTCSCAGGAATATGATCATGGGACCTGGCTGTCCCGAGGCACACTGGGCAGCCGTTCTGGTCTAATGGAACTCATTAGCACAGTTGTTAATGACTTGTATGATGGCAGCCGTGTCCGGAGGCTCCAGCCGCATTTGCACAAAGCCAACCATGAGGAATGGCACTCGCAGCGTGGGGCAGCTCCGAGGAGCCGCCGTGGTCAGCAAATGACTTCCAGGCAGCTCTTTGGAAAGGCTTGTGGGAGCCCAGCCGGCTCTTGCGACACCGCACAGAGCAGGATGGGAAGCAGGGATGGAACCCGGGTCTGTAGTGAGGGCCAGCAGGTCTGGTGCTTCTTGATGGAACAGCCAGYACCTCTGCTGTGGRGACAGACTGAGACAGCTGAGAGTTTTCAGTGTGGAGAAAGCTCTAGGGACACCTTAGAGCCCCTTCCATTGCCTAGAGGGGCTCCAAGAGAGCTGGAGAGAGACTTTGGACAAGGGCCTGAAGTGACAGGACAAAGAGGGAATGGTTTCCTGCTGACAGCGGGCCAAGTTAAGACTTGATATTGGGAGGGTGAGGCCCTGGCACAGGTTGCCCAGAGAAGCTGTGGCTGTCCCATAACTGGAAGTGTTCAAGATTGGAGGGGGCTTGGGACAACTTGTTCTAGTRGAAGATGTTCCTGCCCATGGCATGGGGTTGGAATGAGATGAGCCTTGAGGTCTTCCTACTCAGTTCTGAGATTCTCTGCAGGGCTGTCTGTGTTTGTGCCATGGGCTGCCTCACTGGCTGGTCCTGGGAGCTTTCCTTCCCACATGCCAACCATGTGTCAGGTTAACCCCATCTTCCCATGCTCAGCATTTCTGCAGCAGTTCTCTCTCACCAGTGCCTATCTCATCTCCTTCTCTGCCTTTTCTCTCTCCAGAGGTCGAAGTGGGGGAATGATTGTGGATCCTCTCCACTCTGGTTTCCCGCAGCCTGGCATTGACCCGTCATCGGGCATCCCAGGCAGACTTCCCCCAGGAGCTGTTCCACCAGGTGCCAGATTTGACCCTTTTGGCCCATTAGGAGTTGGGCGACCCGGGTAGGTCCTTGGCCATRTTGGTGTTCCAGCCTGGAATGTGGCTGGATCCCAGCACCTCCCTGTTGCTGCTCCCTGAGCTCTCACTCCCGTTTGACTCTGCTCTCAATTTCTTTCCAGGCCSGATCCAGATCACCTTCCCCCTCCAGGCTACGACGACATGTTCATGTGAGGAGTCAGCGTGTGCCTTCTCATGGATGAGTCTTCTGGGAAGYGGGGGCACTTCCCCTCTTCACTTCCCATCTGGTGGATGTACATCTTTCCAGAAGCATTTTCCTTCTCTCCGTTTTGGGCCACATTCCCATGTGTCCCATCAGCTATAAAGGCTTCCCTGTTAGCAGAACGGAAGAGGAGGCAGTAGTAGGTCATTTCATTGCTCCTCTGGGGGTGCCTGGCTGTTTGCACCCAGTGAGGTGGGAGTGTGGGGTGTGGTACTCTGGGAACAGCCTGGGTGCTGTGGGATTTCTCTGCTTCTCCGCGGTGGCAGAGCTCGCTACTGGGGTCCCAAAAGTGGTGGGTGTGAGGAGGGAGCTGGATTCTTTGTGCTCCTCTACAGGAAACCACAGCAACCTCATGAAGGGGATAGCCAGAGTAGGCTGCCCACAGAGATGATTTCTTTCTCGCTCTATCTGAGCAAAGCACTGATTGAAGGGCTGGAAAACCCAGCCTATGGGGTGTCCATGGGCAGACCCCCAGCAGCAKCTGGGATTATGATTCTGCCTGCTGGCTTTGAAGAGCACCACCAGCAAAGCTTTTGATGTGCATAAGAAGTGACAGATTGAATTCCTGGCTCACCTTGCCCCCTCTCTTCCCTGCAGCTGTGGTGTTTTTCATTCCTGGGGTGTCTGTGAAGCCCCACAGGAAGTGTGGCAAGGGGTGCCCACTGGGTACTGCATGGATCTGGGGTAAGAGGGAGGGAGCTTTGCCAAATAGGTTTCTAGAACACATTTTCCTATTGTCAGTCTTGTTGTATGTGGCTCTGCGTATCTGGCTTGGGAAGAATGGGTGAGATCTGTGTGACTCAGGCTCCTGARCTCTCTGGAAACCTCCTTTCCCAATAGATCCCCCAGCTCCGTTGATTTTGGGGCTGCAGCCCATCTCTTCTGTCAGGGGCTCACACTGTTTTTCTTCTTGTGGTTTGATCTCTTGGAAGGATGTTCATGAGACTTGAAATAAAAACCTGACAAACAGWGTTGTGCTGGTGCTTACTGGGGCGGCCTCCCTGTTTTCTACGGTGCAAAGGGAAGCCCCAGAGCTCTTCCCAAGGCAGAGGATCCATGCTGGGAACCCGCTTTATACCTTCTTCTGAGCAGCAGCTTTTTTCAAGACATGTAACTGTTAGGAAAATGAAGTGGAGAACAGCCCAGCCCGGCTCCTGCAGTAATTGCCTCTCCGGGGCATTGAGTGCTGTTGGAACGCTGCACGCAGCTGCGTTGGCAGAAATAAAAAGGGGGAAGGGAACCCCCATCTATCTCTTTTCCCAAAAGGCTTTTTCCTTTTAAAACCTCTTTGCCTACAAATGCGGTTAATAAAGCTGTGTTATGGTGTGTGCCACCCTGGGCTCTGCACCTGTGGGAGCAGGGAAGACCAGCTGGAGCAATCTGATGCTGGGGGCAGCTGGAGCATCCCCTGCATCTCCCCGGGGCTCATGCATGGACCCCCATTCATGTAGGGACCATTCTTAGCCCAGACCTGCTGGATCTGCCATCCCAACTGCACTACCCAGAGGTTTTTCACTGGAAGTCCCACCTGCAGACCCATGGGTGGACTGTAGGCAATGCCCATGACCAGAGCAGCATGGGAGGGATGGAGAGAGACACAGGGCTTGGTGAGGCCATTGCTCTTGCTTGTTCCTTCTGGCTCCTGGGACGGCCTGCACCCATCCACAGCTTTCTCCTTGTTCCAGGAGAAAGAAGCCCCCAGCCTTGTTGCTGGGAGTGAGAGATCGCAGACCCCAACCTTACTGCRAGGGGTTGTAACAGAGGAAACAGCTTTGGCCCTATCGAGAGGCCCCTCACTGCGGGGGGCAGCTGTTTTCTGTGCCTGAATTAATCATGTTCCGCGACCTTCCAGGAGGGAGAGACGCAGCCGGCTTTGATGGAGCTAATTAAAGCGAGTCAGCGCCGGGAGAGGCTGCGGCGGGGCGAGGAACCGGCTTTTGTCTGCAGCGCCCAGCCCCGGCGGGTCCGTGGTGTTGTGCAGCTGGGAAACAGGTGGCAGAGGAGGGGACTGGGTTCCAAAGGGGACAAGTGTCCACCGCAGGCCTTTGCCTGAGCCTCTGGACCCCCAAAGCTGAGCCATCCACTCTCCAGAAAGGATAGGTAAAAGGAGGCAAGGATCCTCCTCTCCCATGTCACAGGATGGTGGGAACAGGGGACTGACCCCACAGCTGGCTTGGCTCACACCAAAGGAGCCCAAGCATGGCAGAGGTGGYTCCTGAGGACCAGTGATCCCAAGCACATTCCTTATTCCATCTGTAGGGCTTGTGACCACACAAACCCCATTCCCTGAGAATGGCTGGGGGGCAGCCACCCCCACTGCAGTGGCTGTGAGGGTCAGGTCTCCCTTCAGCAGGAGGGACAGTTCAGTCCCTGTCCCCAACTCTGCTGCTTCTACCCTAAGTGACAAGAAACATTAACATGCATGGGAGCACAGCAACACACCCCGTGTTAATTTTTATGGGGAGGTTGTGAGGAGCGGCTGGRGCTGGGTGTGCGGTCTTGGCACGGGCTCAGCCTCCCTCCTCCGGCAGCAGCRCTTCCACTACGCGTTTGAAGAGAGGCACTGGATTATTGGTAATGGCTCAGGATCCCCAGAGAGTCCTTCAGGCCATCTGCCAGCCCGCCCAGCCCACAGCACCTGCCTGCACGCTCCCGATGGGATGGCAGAACCCCCGGCGTTGCTAATTACCCTGCAGCCGGTGCTTCATCCCTTGGATCCTGGGTACAGGGAAGCGGTGCGTGTGGCCCAGCAGGAAAACAAAGCAGCTCCCATTATATCGAACTGGGAAAGGCATGCTGGCTCCTCCCTGCTTGCTTTGCTCGCCCCTGGYACAAACAAAGACACCCCCAAAAGACCAGCAGTGGGGGACTGGAGAGCCATTGACCCTCATTCCACTCAGGCTGCAGAGCATCAGCCTTTCCCAGCCAGATTTTTCTCAGCACTCTGGAATATTTTGGATTGCTTCCTACTACTYCCCTGCACATTAACAATCAGAAGCCAGTGCCTCTTTCCTAGTGCCTGCCAGAGCGATGAAGGGACAGCCAGGTCAGACAGCTCCACGTGTYTTTGCCACAGCCACCCTACACCTCATCCTGGGGACGATTGTGAAAAAATCACATCCTAGCCCTGCAGTTCTCCATGGGGAGTCTTCTTTAATGGCAGTCCTTCCTTGGCACTGTTCATTGTAAATATATCTCTCTCCATGCAGAGGCTTCCCCCCAGTCCTGCAGGGACTCAAGGCACAGTCCAACAACATGCTGACAAAGCAATAACAGCCCCTTCCTGCAGTCTGTTAAGCAGCCTCATGCCCTAATCCATGGGAGKATTTCTCATGCTCACATACAGCAGGTGCTCAGCAGCTGTAACATCCACCAGGCTCAGCCTTTCATCCTGAAAACACTCTTTCCAGCTTATTTAAAGCAACAAAAAGGGATGAGGATGATTTCTCCATCTAACAGGTTTATTTTTCTAATCCAGACATGCAGGGCCAGCCCTGAGTTGCAGGAGAGATATCTGCCTTCTCAGGGCAAGGCCTTGGGAAGACTCAGAGCTCCCCCTTCCTCCCCATCTTCTCTTTTTCCTCTTCCTCCCCTCCCTTCCCTCCCTCCCATGGCATCACCCCTCCTCCGCCCTAGAGCCCCTCGGTAACAGCCACCATGGCATTTGCCCTCCCTGCTCTCCTTGGACCCTTCATTTGGCCCCTCAGGCTCTGCTTAAAGCCATTTACCCCRGAGCTGTTGGGGACAAGCGATGCCTGTTTGGGGACAGTGGGGCACAGCCATCCACTTCACTCCCAAGAGTGGTTTCATCCCAGGGAAAGGTGCCTCGGTGCCAGGATTTCAGGTGTGAGGTGATTCAAGGCAGTTTCCTGGGATCCTATAGTAAATACAGAGCATGGCTGGTRATGTAGTGATGGGGAGAGGGACATGTGGCCCTTCACAGCAGTTGGGAAGAATCATCTGTGAAGCATTAAAAATGGAAACAGAGGAGAGAGGACTCKGCCCCCAGTATTTGAGGGGACATTGGAAGCCCTGGAATAAAATCTAACCCAGGCAACTGGATGTAAAAATCACTTTTCTTTATGTCGGGCTGTCTGGAGGGATTTGTCCCTGCCTGCGAATGTTTGAAGTGGGTACCTTATGGGACAGATTGAAAACTGGAGGCAGTTCATGATAAAACAGCACCTTTTRTGGGTCTGTATTTTCCAATGGGATAATTATTTCCCTTTCCCAGCACCTTGCTCATACCCATTTCTCTTTCCACAGAACATTGTGCTTTAATGACGCTTCATGTTTAATTCCCRAGATGCAATTTTGCCTTCACACCACAGACAAGGGCCCTTGGATCAGCACAAAGGCTGGTGTGGGGACACCTCGGCAGTGGCACTGCCAGGCCAGCCTGRAACACAGCCACCACAACACCTCGAGGCACTGAGAACCATCCACTCTCTTCTGTACGGAGCACCATGATTTTTGAAGAGGCCATTCCGGGGCTGCTGGTGGTAGCAGGATGCTCAGCATGGTGCAGGCGCGTGTCCTGGCCTTCATCCTGCTTTGTGGAATGGGGCTGGTAGTGTGGAAGGGCTGTGGGGTGGCAGGGAGCTGGACCCCACCCCACGGGTGGTGGGCATGCTTGCTGCCTCCTCTTCCGCTCAAAGCAGTGCAAGCACCAGCTCTGTGCCAGAGTTTTAACAGGAAACTATTGCTAAGAAWGGTCACTGATGGCAGAAACGGAGGCCCTCTGTCGGGAAGAGGAGCAGTCAGGTCCTGGCTGTGGGAAGGAGCTTGGCCTCACATCCAGCCCAGGCTGCAACTGACCGTGGCACAGAAATCCCACGGGTGCCTTGACAATGCTACTGCCGTGATGCGAGTGGCAGGATCCTGTCCAGAAAGGTGATGGGAGGTGACAAGGGATCCCAAGGCCATACTGTTCCAGTGCTGGTGGTGGGGAGCAACCCAGGCCARGGCCATGCAGTCTGATGGAGTATCCCAAAGTCTTATCTGTCCGGTGCTGTTGGGCAGGAGCACCATCCAAGAARGGTTCAGGGAGGTGAGAATGGTGGCTGAAGGCTGGCGAAGGCAAAGTCTCACCCAATGGTATCAGTGTTGGGATGCAGCAAAGGGACCCTGCTTCTGCCAGCGGCAGGGGACCCCTGGGGTGTGCAGGGCTAGGAGCCGGGCCCCTCGGAGGGCTGGGGCGGGGGGCTCAGCTGGCTCTCCAGCAACGCCCGCGTCCCTTCAGCTGATACCCTCCGCAGCCGCAGCCGTACCGAGCCGTAGGTGCCACCGGTGCGGCGGGCGGCCCGGGCGCGGCGACGAGCGGCGGCGGTGGCCAGCAGCAGGGCGGCGAGCAGGAGCCCGCCCAGGGCCAGCAGCGCCAGCCCGGCCACGGTGCAGCGGTCGAGGCGGGCGCGGAGCCGCGCTGCCCGAGCCTCCAGCCGCTCCATCTGCCGCGCCGGCACCGCGGGGTCGGGCCGCGCCGCCCGCGGAACGGCCCCCGCCAGCACCACCAGCGCCGCGCCGCCCAGGGCGCAGCCCAGCGCCAGCGCCAGCCCCGGGCCCGCCGGCACCGGCCCCCCCGCACCCGCACCAGCCCCCGCACCCGCCGTCTCGCCCGGGCTCCGCAGCTCCGCCGCCCGCGGGGACGCCATGGAACCGCCGCCGGCCTGCGCGACCAAAGGTGAGCGGTCGAACCGGGACAGGATGCTCCTCTGGATCGGAGACGAGTCCCCGAACCGGGATGCCTCCCCAGAGCCGAACCCCGGGGACGGGATGCTCCCTCTCCCCGGAGTCGCTTCCCTTGCCGGGCTGCCAACCCCACCCCGCAGGTCTCCGAACCGGGCTGCTCCTCCTCCTGGAATCCCTCTTAGCCGAACCGCGCTACCTTCGGGGCTGGGACCCCGCCCGGGCTGTCCCTCTTCCCCGGAGCCGACCGCCCAGACTGGGGCTGCTCCTCTTCACCGGGTCCC